AAAAAAAAAAAAAAAATAGCTGGACGTGGTGGCACATGCCTGTAGTCCCAGCTACTCAGGAGGCTGAGGCAGAAGGATTGCCTGAGCCCAGGAGTTCAAGGCTGCATGGCATGATGGTGTCGCTGCACTCCAGCTTGGGTGACAGAGAGAGACCCCAACTCAAAAACAAACAAACAACAACAACAACAACAAAAAAACAGGAAATAAAACTAGCATGTCAAAAACAGAATGCTCGATCTTTCCCCCATCTTAAATCTGCCCCCTGTTATTCTTACCCTGGTCACCCGGATGCTCAGGTCCCAAACCTAACTCCTTTCCCTCACACCCGCATCCAGCCATCAAATCGCCTTGGCTCTCTACACTCAGACATAACCCTAGTTATCCACTCCTCACTGCCATCACTGTCACAACTCTCAATGTCATCACTTTCTTGCCTAGACATCTGTAGTCTTCCAATTCATCTCTGCTTGCAATCATGCATCTTCCAATCCATTCTCCAAACAGCAGTCAGAGTGATTGTTTCACAATATAAATTGGATCACATCCCTTCTCAGCTGAAAACCTTCCAATGATTCTACCTCAGAATCAAAGCCAAAGTCCTCGCTGTGGCCCACAAGGCCCTACATGGCCCCTGTTGCTTCTCTGACCTCATCTCCTGCCACCACAACCACCCCCCCGAGTCAATTCCAGCCATACTCCCTCCCTGCTCTTCCTGAAACACATCAAGCTCCTTCCTGCCTCTAGGCCTTGCCCTTAGTGGTTGCCTCTTCTGGGGACACTCTTTCCCAGCTCCTGCCTGCTGGACCTACCCCTCCTCATTCCTAAGGTCCACCTCAGATGGCATCCTCTCAGGGAATCCTCCCTGACTGCCATCTAGTGAAGCCCCATCCTCAGTCCATTGCAACATCCTGTTGGGCCAGTGTGGTGACTCACACCTGTAATCCCAGTGCTTGAGGATTGCTTGAGCCCAGGAATCCAAGACCAGTCTAGGCAACATAGTGAGACCCTTCTCTACATGAAATTTAATAAATGGCTGGACTCGGTGGCTCAGCCTGTAATCTCAGCACTTTGGGAGGCTGAGGCGAGAGGATTGCTTGAGCCTGTGGGTTCGAGACAAGCCCGGGCAACATGGTGAGACCTTGTCTCTACAATAAATCAAAAATTAGCCAGGCATGGTAGCGCGCACCTGTAGTTCTGGCTACTTGGAAACCTGAGGTGGAAGGATCGCTGGCACCAGAGCCCAGCAGGGCGATGCTGGGGTGGCCATGAGCATGTCGCTGCACTCCAGCCTGGGCAACAGAGTGAGACTCCAATTCAAAAAAAAAAAGTTTTTTAAATTATCCAGATGTGGTGGCACATACCTGTAGTCCCAGCTACTCAGGAGGCTGAGGCAGAAAGATTGCTAGAGCCCAGGAGGTCGAGACTGTGGTGAGCCATGATTGTGCCACTACAGTCTGGCCTGGGCAACAGAGGGAGACCTGACTCAAGGAAAAACAATAAAAACAACAAAAAACCCAAAAAAGTCCTGTCGATTTCCTTCAGGATAACAGATTTTACTGTTACTTATTTTGTCTGTCTCCCTATTAGAATGCAAGCTCCATAAGCAAGCTCTTGTCTTTTATTTTTTTTTTCTCCAGAACTGTGCTCCCCAGAACTTAAAACAGGCCTGGCACAGAATCAGCCCTCAATAAATCTTCTTTTAATGCAATGAGCACAGCAAGTGGACTTTCTCCCTAGGCGTGTGCCTGTGGTTAATATGTGTAGGGGACAGGAAAGTTGTCCTGAGGGGCTGTCTCCCAGCCTGCAAAGAGAACCCCTTCAGCAGATGGAGGTGTGCTGTGGGGACCACGTTCCCAGCATTCAGTAGGCAAGGATGGAGATGTGAAGAACACTGTTTCTTCCATCCAGGGACAGCAAAGGGACTACATTTCCCGGAAGGCAATGGGTGTACCCAGTGCCAGCAGACAATGAAACAGAGTGGACCACATTCTCAAAAGCAAGGAAGGCATGAGAGATCACATCTTTGAGTATGCCACGGAGGTAGCAGCCAGGAAATAAGTTCACCTCCCATGTGATCTGCCTGCAGATCTCTGGACAACGTTATGCCAAGGAGAACAAAAAAGCTGGAGAGAGGTCCTTCCCAGAGAGCTCTGGACAGGAGTGTCTCAGCATACCATAGTGACCCAGTCACAAAGCCACAGGCCTGCACAGCAGGGACTTGGCAGACTTAGGCTCCACCCACTCAGGTGGCTCCACCCTCTGTACCACTGGCTCCACCTCTTCTCAGGCCCCGCCTCTCAGTTGATGCCTCAGTCCACGACCAGGTTTGTCCAATTCTCTCCTTTGCTATCAGAGGTCTACTACAACTGGCCAGTCCTTTGCCCTCGGGAGTCAGGCCTTTCTCCAGGCCTTGGCCAGCTCCAGCATCCACCCTTCCTTCCCCTGCAGAATCCTGGCTTTGACCTCCCATTGGCTGGGCCGGACTGTACCGTAAGGCTTCATCCTCCCAGGCCCACCCAAAACCCCACTCTTAGGACCATCTTCCTCCCTAAGCCCCACCCCGATATTACAATACGTAGGCCCCGCCTCCTTGCTAGCCCCGCCCCACTGGCTAGCCCCGCCCCTTCCCTGACTGGCCTTGTCCTAAATTTCATTTCTTTGCTTCCTAGTTTTACCTCTCCAATGACTCCTCCCCTTCTCAGACTCCTCCTCTCACAGGATGGCTCCACCCTCCCACGCAGATCTTTAGATGCTAAGCTCAGCTGGCCCAGCCTCTCCCAAACTCTGCCCGTCAGTACTTAATACCCCTCTCTCCTGGATCTTGTCCTTGTCTTCCCGGTTCCGACCTCTCCACAGGACTTCGCCCCTTTCTGAACCCCATTTCTCTCTAAGTGACTCTTCCCCTCGCCGATCCCAGATGCGACCCCTCCTTCAGGTTCTGCCATCGGGGGCTGGTCTCTATTCGTCCCAGTCTCCACCTCTTCCCTCGACTGCCTTTCCTACAGTCTCACCTACAGATGAATGGACCTCCCAAACCCTGACCATCGATGACTGGCCTTTCTCTGACCCCGCTTCTAGGTGGCTCCCCTAAAGGCCCCGCTGACCCTAGAGAGCACCTCGCCTTTTGCCTAGACCTAACCCCCACCATCGGCCCCGCCTCGGCCCCGATGCTGAC